GGGGGGGGCGGGGAGTGTAGGAAGAAGGACTCTTAGCAAGATCCTTCTTTAGGACTATTAGTTGTGACTTCCCAATGAGCCTTTATGATGCCCTTTTCAAATAAATGTTAATGTTGTCACCACATGGTTGTCTATTTGATTTCTTTAAAGTAAATGGTTTTTTGAGATGCAAACAGGATCTGAAAATACCAACATTAACCACTAACATTTAGCCGCCACCACCTGCCATTACTTCCCTTGCTTGAAAAGGAAAGAGCATAGGGGAGAAGGATGCTACCAAGATGTAAACATGAGGATTCCCAGCATGGGAGCATCCCGATGGGAAGGTGTGGGCCATTTCTTCATTACAGTGGGCGAGACTTTATCTTCGCAATCTGGCTTTCTGATTCCTCTTACATCAGGGCATTCCGGTTTGCTTTCATTGTGAACTCCTAGATCATCAACATAATATGTGTAAGTGCCATACACAAACATTTCCCAGCCACTTTGATCTCTACCACCCATTGGTATGTCTAATGCAGTTGACATGTATGCATACGTCTGTGTGTGTGTGTGTGTGTGTGTGTGTGTGTGTGTGAGAGTATCTGTGAGTCTCTTGTGAATTGGAAATGTGTTTGGCCCCAGCATTGTGCAGACATCATGGGGACATATAAAAGAAACCCAGCCCATGACCTCTGTGCTAGTGGAGGTTGGGTTTCCCTGAGGAGAGCACAAGACATACATACAGCAAGAAAATTGCCATCCAAGCCAGACTGCATGCCCTCCATTGAAGAGGGCTGACTGCAGAAACACTGAAAATGAGCAGGTGTGGCTGGAAGAGATCACAACTTTCCCAGTGGAAGTGGACTTGAGCCTGGGCTCATGTTGAAAACGGGGTAACATTCAAAGTGGTGGGAGATGGGGAATTTCAAGTAGAGGCTGAAGGAGGATGGGAGGAGAGAGGTACCAGTAGGTGGGAACATGGGAAGTAGGGTTCAGTAAGGAGTGTGAATTTCATTGACAAGGGCCCAGCATGCCATGCCCTGTAGTTTGGAATTGATGGAAAACTGGGGTGGGACAACTTTCTTTTTAGCTCTTGAGCCAATGAATGAAGATTTTGTATATATTACTATGAAGAATTTGTATCTGATGGGTTGGGAGGAGAGCAACAGGAGACAAGGAGAAGTTGGTTGGAAGCTGTTACAGTAGTGTAGGCCGGAGCACAGAATGATGAGAAGGGTTTGGGTTGGGCAACATCATGGGGAGAGAATGTGGACATAGCTGGGGGAAAAGAAAGAGATCCCAAGGCTTGAGCCCATGGGACTGGAATAAGTATCCGTGTATATTGCATTGTATTTATACAGATGTGTCTCCGTGGGTGCGTGCCTGGGTGGGTGAGACCATGTGTTTGAGAATGTATCTCAGTGTGCACATTTTAACTGATACCAACCATCAGCACTCACACTTAGCTTCTCAGTGATAAAAAGATAATCACATTCATTTCTTAATCTGCACAATAGCCCTCACACTAGGGAGGGAGGGGAAGAGGAACTCAATCTTGGCGTTCAGAGACTTGCCTAAGGTCGCACAGATAGCTGGATCCAGGGGACATTACCACAGCCTCCCACCTGACAGCCCAGAGAGCCCTTCCCCTGCCCTTGAGGTTCAGTGTCGGCCTGGCCCTTGGACAGGTGCCATCGTTGCTCTTGTAGGGTCACTTCTGTAAGAATCCTGCCTTTGGGTGCACCTTCTAGCTGAGCAGTTTTCCCACCCAACGAAGGGTGGCAAATGTAGCCACCCTGAGCCAACCCCTCAACTACCTGGCCCCTTGTGGACGCATTTACTGAGGGGACAGGAAAGTACATTTCCTTTCCATGGCCGCTCTGCCTGTGCATATACTGCCGCTGGGTTACATGGAAACCATCCTGCCTCTCCTCCACTGTGTGCTCCTCTTTATTTGATGGATATGTGATATATATATGAACACATAAAAATATATATATCACAAATGTTTGGGCGGTAGCGCCCACTTTGGGAATCACTGCCCTAGATGTTCTGGGTCCCAGAGAACATGTTTCAACTGGCTTAAGAATTAGAACAGCCTTGGGGTACCTTTAAGTGGCTCAAAGGCTAGACCTCTGGGCTTCCCTGGGGTCTTCTGGACCATGATACCTTCCAGTTGCTATTTCATTGTCCCCAGTCCTTCTGACCTGGGTACAGAGAGTGTCAGTGAGAAGTGAGGCTATTTCTCCCAATTCCTCTTCATAACCATGAAATGGCATTACACTGGCTGAGCACCTGTGGGAAAGGACAAGACCTGAGCTGTTACCTGAATATTAAGATTGAAGGTAGTCCTAGCCAGTTCGGCTCAGTAGATAGAGTGTGGGATGAGAATCACTGATCAGCTGCCTCCTGCACGTCCCCTAGGGGGATGGAGCCCACACCCTGGGCAGGGCACCCGCCAGGGCTGGATGTGTGTTATTTCATTCACTGGGTCACCATTCACAGGCAGAGGCAGATGTGCAACTTGCAAGGCTTTATTTCCTAACTACAGGCAGCTTTAACAGGCCGGGTGCCGCGCCCACCGCTGGAGCCGGAGCCCGGAGCCCAGACAGGATGAAGTTTGATTCTGGTCAAGGGCACATGTCCAGGTTGCAGGCTTGATCCCCAGTAGTGGGTTTGCAGGAGGCAGCCGATCAATGATTCTCTCTCATCATTGATGTTTCTAACTCCCTCTCCCTTCCTCTCTGAAATCAATATATAATTTTTTTAAAAAGATTGAAGGTAGACAAGGAGATCAGCTCATTTGGGCAGGCCACACCCACTTCCCTCACCCATAGGCCTAGCAGCAGGTTGTGCTGAAACAAGACATCGTCCTCACGTCTGGGCAGTGTGTTGCTTCTTCGTCCTATTCACCTTAGAAAGCTAACCACATCTGAAGACTGGAGAGGATGGTCAATATGGGCCTGGCCAGCTGGGGAAGTGGGGAAAAGACACAGGGGCAGTGGCTGGGGCCCTGGGGGCTGTTGGGGTCAGAAGGCAGATTTCCAGGCTCTCTTTTAGCACCAGCCAGGTTGACCAGCACTCTCGTCCTCCTGGAGACCTTAGGGCCTCATCATCATCCCCTTTTGAGCTCTTCCTCCATGACTGTTGATTCTGGCCTGTGGGGTGCAGAGCTGTAACTCCACAAATGCTGCAGCCCACACATTATAACATGTCTGTGTCCATTTAGAACTTCATGACCCAGCTGAAAGTGCGTGTGCCCATCTGTGTGCATGTGTGTGTAATGTAGTTCCTAGTAGACGATATATGTATATAATAGCTGATGTATTTATATGGAAGTGCAGAATTAGTGCCTGTGGCAGTTTTCTGTATTTTAAACTCATTGAGTCAAATTAGTTTTAAGGAAGGGAAAAGAGGAGTGGGGGTGGGGGGGGGCGGGGAGTGTAGGAAGAAGGACTCTTAGCAAGATCCTTCTTTAGGACTATTAGTTGTGACTTCCCAATGAGCCTTTATGATGCCCTTTTCAAATAAATGTTAATGTTGTCACCACATGGTTGTCTATTTGATTTCTTTAAAGTAAATGGTTTTTTGAGATGCAAACAGGATCTGAAAATACCAACATTAACCACTAACATTTAGCCGCCACCACCTGCCATTACTTCCCTTGCTTGAAAAGGAAAGAGCATAGGGGAGAAGGATGCTACCAAGATGTAAACATGAGGATTCCCAGCATGGGAGCATCCCGATGGGAAGGTGTGGGCCATTTCTTCATTACAGTGGGCGAGACTTTATCTTCGCAATCTGGCTTTCTGATTCCTCTTACATCAGGGCATTCCGGTTTGCTTTCATTGTGAACTCCTAGATCATCAACATAATATGTGTAAGTGCCATACACAAACATTTCCCAGCCACTTTGATCTCTACCACCCATTGGTATGTCTAATGCAGTTGACATGTATGCATACGTCTGTGTGTGTGTGTGTGTGTGTGTGTGTGTGTGTG